AGTTTACAGTGTAGATCTCCATAAAGTACAAAAATTATGTGCATGATTGACTATAATAAAATAAGCAATTGGCCAGACAATGAAATAGTAAATGAAATGTTTTATTGCCGAATCAACAAAAGGTATTGTTGAATCTGGTGGAGGATAATGTTGTGAATGAGTATTGATTACTGCTGAATCTGAGAGTAAGACTGAAGGATAAAATAATATCCTCAGCTATTCCAGTCAAACGGATCTCCCTTTATGATATTATCTAATACACAGATCATCATACACATAATTGATTATTTATTATTATCACCATGACATGGGATATACAAATACATATACATTATATATATGGCATCATTATATTTCATCTACATATTTCTTTTATTATACAAATACTTAATTGAGAGACTACAACTACAACTATCTAATATTATGAAACATTACCCGAGTATCTGGGTCGGAATACTAAAATATTACCAATAGCATAAATGCTCTTCTTTACCAAAACTCTTGGACTGATCTGACTGGAGAAGTATCATATCAATTGGTCTTTCCGGATCTTTCCAGAAGAACAATACTCCTGGAATATGACTCATCGTGATAAAGATTACTTAAGCACACACTGAATTACAAATTAGAAAAACATATAAATATCAGTAGATAGTTCCGTGTAGAAAGACAATCGAATTTTATATTTCTTTACTTTTCTTTTGAAATAAACAACCTACACAAGTTCTCACGAATTCTTTCGTCTATATTATATTTTGCTTTATTTTCTCCCCACAACACTAAGCTTTATCTAAATATTCATTCTTTAGATGGGTGTATACACACCGGTATATGTCTGTTTGCGGAGCTGTGGGGAGTGAGCAATTGTTCCCTGTGGTAAAAAAAAGAGTTAAACCCTTTACTGAAGCTCTTTGGGTAAGCTCAATATTATATTCTGTACTCTACTCAACATTTACTAACTATGTTTTTTTTTAGGTGGGAGTATATACGCACCGGTATATATTTCTATTTAAAGTAGCTATAGCGTCAGGCATGGAGGCCTTTGGGTAAGTTCCTTATTAATACTATTACTATATCAGACTTTGACTAACAATCTATTTAGATATTGTGTTAGCCAACCGACGATCAAGCCGTATACCAAGTAAGCCAGACCTACACGGACGTTTCGTTTCCGTTGTAGAGAAGTTTCCAGGCCAGACCTACGAGTGGTATTGCGCGAATGCGCTCGTACTGTGTCTTCAGTGGTTCGCTGCTGATTACATAGCAATTTTTCGAAGTTGCACAAGTGTCTGGCAAGGCGGTTTTAGTGTGCGCGATGCGACTTTAGTCGATACTCTAGAGAGTGTAGCTTGCTGGAAGGTGTAGGCTGACGCGCAGCGCTGCCTTCTGGCTTGAATTTGCTCTCCACACCACTCTCAACATGGAGGAAAATAGTTGCCTATGAAGTGTTGTTCTACATAGGGTGAAACTGCCAGTCCTATGATGATCTAGGAGTTTCGTTCCTAGATTGTCCCCCTTCGTATATACTAGACCTACAGGAGACGTACGCACGCACGTTCTTTTGTATCGTGTCTACAGTCTTTGTTACTGTAACACTGGCAATTCTTGCGATTGCGAACGGCACTTTGTGCTCTAGTAGTATGACCATTAATTGCGCAAGAGTCTAGGGATTTGGTTCTTGTGTGTGTGCTGGTGCAAGCCAGTGCTTAAGAGAGAAGAAGCCAGCTATGAGAGTGAATGCTGACGTGCAGCGCTGCAGGATGGCTGGTAGAGACTCTCCACACTACCCTTGGCATGGAGGAAGATAAGTTCCTATGAAGTGTCAGTTGCTATAGGGTATGACCAATGAAGTATTTTCCACCGGGCGTTTCGTTCCCAGGTGGCGCGCGTTCTTTTCTAGACCTACAAGAAGTCATTGCACGGAATGTACTCTTGTACTGTGTCTTCAGTGGTTCGCTGCTGATGTACATAGCAATTTTTTAAATTGCATAAGTGTCTAGCCGAGTTGGTTCTTGTGTGCGCGATGCGGTTGCGGTGTCAGCCGATACTCTAGAGAAAGCTAGCTGGTTGTAAAGGTGTAGGCTGACGTGCAGCGCTGCCTGAGCACTGGTTATCTTTCTCCACACTACCTTTGTCACTATTGAGGAGATTCTGTCTCCGAGGAAATACTGGCGTCAAAAGGTAAAACCAACAGATTCCTTTATCTCTCTGGGCGTTTAGTTCCCAGATGGGACCCCATTTCTTTCTAGACCTACAAGGGGACATTGCACGGAATGCACCTTTGTACATTGCAAGTATTTATACTTGCGCCAAGTGTCTAGCCGAGCTAGTTTGTCGTGCGTTTGATGCAGTTGCGGTTGCCAACTCGTACTTCAGAGAAAGATGGTTAGTTGAGAGGGTGTAGGCTGACGTGCAGCGCTGCCTGATCACTAGCTGTCGATCTCCGCACCACCCTTAACATGGAGGAAGATAAGTTCCTGTGAAGTGTTATTGTTCAAAGGGTAAACTAGTTCATTTTCCCTCCCCGCTGTCAGATCAGGTCTTCGTCCTGGGGAGGACGGATCTACTTTTATAAGTAGTGAACTAAGAATCTGACATAATTTTTTTTCTCGTTTTTTTTTTGCTAATAAATATAATATATTATTTAGCCTTGATTTTAATTTTTTTTTTATTAATAAAAACCAAATCTTTCTAAACCATTCCAATTGAGCTCTATTTTAACAATGATTGTAATAAGCATTTCCCTATTAATAAAAGCTAGATATGTATGTAATAATTTAATTGAGTAAAAACACACTAAGATAGATATGATAAGTGAGTATGGTGAGACAGGAGAGATTTGATTCGATTGAAGTAAAAGACAGAAGAATAATGTGAGTGATTATATTTAAAGATATACTAGAAGTTGGAAGCTTTGAAAGTTGTGTCTGATGGGATGTGATCATTGGGATCGAAGAAGAGGCTGGAAATATAAGCATATGAATATTGTGTGTGAGCGAAAGTTGAAAGCCATGCCTGAGAATGGTGATATATGAAACCTTAGACTTAGAGGAATATAATGTATGGTTTTGGAGTGTCAATTTTTTTTTATATGGCTATGATTTTGAGCTGTATCTTGTAGTGGTAATAAAAAAAAAGATATGTTATGGTTGTTGGTGTCAATTCTGATAGTATTTTGAAGTTGATGTTAGTAGTGTCAAAAAAAAAAGCGATATGTTATGGTTGCTGGTGTTAGTTTTGATAGCATTCTGAAGTTGGTGCCGATTCCAGTAGATTTGTAAAGTCAATGTATGCATGGAGGTTTGACTGAGGATTCCCGAAATGAATGAGGTATGTAAAAAGAAGATTCAAGACATTGCTAAAAAAAAAAAAAAAAATTTTTTTTGTTTCTGTTGCGGCTCTGTTAAGGTTATTTCTGATAGACAGTCCTCTCCAAACAGTATTGACTGAACACTAGACAGTATTTCAACCTTTGTATGGGTGGTAGTGTCACTGTGGATTAGCCTGCTATGTTTCTTTCTCTTATGGGTACACATAGGCTGTTTGCACCACAAATTGATAATGTCAGTCTACAAAAAGACTTTTGTAAGCCGTAGACTCTAATTTATTAGTGAGTATCTACACAGTCTACAAGAAGACATACAAAGCAAACCACCTTATACTCTATATTTTATTATGGCACAGCCAAGGTATTGGCAGACAAGCTGGTGTGTGCGTCTTTATATAAAGAAAGACTGGGATTTATACAGTACACTTATACATTTTGAAGACAGGTATTTAACCCAAAAAAAGAAAAAAATGCCCTGATAAATTTAAATTTTCCAAATATAGTATCGAGCCCGCAAAGATATCGACGAGAAATGCGTTGGTACCCACAGCCAAAGATTGCGGGATCGAAACCTCTTTTAACCGCATTTTAAATTTTTCAATTTTTTCATTTTTTCATTTTTTTCATTTTTTTCAATTTTTTACTTCTTTACACCAATTTACTCTCATACTTTTAATAAATAGATTTGAGACAAAGACTTCAAGTATGTTATTTAATATAACACATAAAAAGTATCCTATGTATTTTTCTTTTTTTCTAAAGCCTAATATAGAATATTATAACATATATTACACAGCCATCCATTTTAAGAGTGTCTGTCAATTTCACTATCCTTTTTCTTTTTTTTTCTTTTTTTACTTTGTATATGTCTTGGGTTTTGTGCAGATGCTCCAATTAGTGCTTTTTTGTATACATAAGCATAGAGTTCTCTTTTGTATGTAAATACTATATATTTGTTTCAAGACAAAATCTTACCGAGTTTTGAATATACTAAAAGAAAGCTTTTTGAAGTCGGATCGAATAGTATATTTTAATTCAAGGTACACAGTCTTAGATAAGATTTAGATATGTGCCACCATTAAATAAATTGTCCAAGGACGGATCAAAACTCGACTTAACGAGTGTAGATTTGTGCACAGCTGGTGGGTTAATCCAGTTCTTACTAAGTAGCAGAAGAAAAAATAAGTGTCTAATATATTGTCTAAGAATTTTGAAATAATATACAATTCAATTGATACACATTTCTGTCTGCATAAGTGAACCCAGTTTTTTAATCCAAATAATGGGCTATATATATATTCTGAAGATATGGTCTCCACATTTAATATCTGATTTGAATGACAAAGAAGGTCTCACAGCCTCAAATATATGCCTACTAATATACAATATTTAATAAAGAATAATACTTTAAAAGAATAAAATTTCAATTGGTATATAGTAATGCTGTAAAGTTGCAAAAACCGAAGCTAATATCAAATTAACGTGGAGTAAATTTGATTAAAGACGATCGATTCTTTCAATATACTCATACAACAAGCTCTACAGCTATAAAATCTTTAGGATCGTGTCTTTATTAAATTTGTCTATATAATTGATTTAATAGACATTTATGGGAATCAGCCATTTTTGTCTCAGCTAAAAATTTTTAAGGGGTGCATGCATATTTGACATGATGACTTCAGCACTTCTCACAGCCCTCAATCAAAAGTATATCAATAGTGCAAGAGTGCGCAGCAAATTTTTCTCTCTTTTACCTCTTTCCTACACTTTCCGCCTGGTCCAAAAGATATGTATCTTCTTCTTCTTTGCCTTTCTACTAGAATATATTTATCCATCTACTTTGCTAGCAGTGACGAGTGTCCGTGTTTCTGTCCATGGGGTTTTTGTGCCTCCGTACTCTTTCGGTAAGCTCTTTTTTTTTCTTTTACTAAGCTTTATCTAAATATTCATTCTTTAGATGGGTGTATACACACCGGTATATGTCTGTTTGCGGAGCTGTGGGGAGTGAGCAATCGTTTCCTGTGGTAAAAAAAAGAGTTTAACTCTTTTCTGAAGCTCTTTGGGTAAGCTCAATATTATATTCTGTACTCTACTCAACATTTACTAACTATTTTTTTAGGTGGGAGTATATATGCACCGGTATGTATTTCTATTTGAAGTAGCTATAGCGCCAGCCATGGAGGTCTTTTGGTAAGTTCCTTATTAATACTATTACTATATCAGACTTTGACTAACAATCTATTTAGATATTGTGTTAGCCAACCGACGATCAAGCCGTATATCAAGTAAGCCAGACCTACACGGACGTTTCGTTTCCGTTGTAGAGAAGTTTCCAGGCCAGACCTACGAGTGGTATTGCGCGAATGCGCTCGTACTGTGTCTTCAGTGGTTCGCTGCTGATTGCATAGCAATTTTTCGAAGTTGCACAAGTGTCTGGCAAGGCGGTTTTAGTGTGCGCGATGCGACTTTAGTCGATACTCTAGAGAGTGTAGCTTGCTGGAAGGTGTAGGCTGACGCGCAGCGCTGCCTTCTGGCTTGAATTTGCTCTCCACACCGCCCTCAACATGGAGGAAAATAGTTGCCTATGAAGTGTTGTTCTACATAGGGTGAAACCGTCAGTTCTATGATGATCTAGGAGTTTCGTTCCTAGGTTGTCCCCCTTCGTATATACTAGACCTACAGAAGACGTACGCACGCACGTTCTTTTGTATCGTGTCTACAGTCTTTGTCACTGTAGCACTGGCGATTCTTGCGATTGCGAACGGCACTTGTGCTCTAGTAGTATGACCATTAATTGCGCGAGAGTCTAGGGATTTGGTTCTTGTGTGTGTGCTGGTGCAAGCCAGTGCTTAAGAGAGAAGAAACCAGCTATGAGAGTGAAGGCTGACGTGCAGCGCTGCAGGATGGCTGGTAGAGACTCTCCACACTACCCTTGGCATGGAGGAAGATAAGTTCCTATGAAGTGTCAGTTGCTATAGGGTATGACCAATGAAGTATTTTCCACCGGGCGTTTCGTTCCCAGGTGGCGCGCGTTCTTTTCTAGACCTACAAGATGTCATTGCACGGAATGTACTCTTGTACTGTGTCTTCAGTGGTTCGCTGCTGATGTACATAGCAATTTTTTAAATTGCATAAGTGTCTAGCCGAGTTGGTTCTTGTGTGCGCGATGCGGTTGCGGTGTCAGCCGATACTCTAGAGAAAGCTAGCTGGTTGTAAAGGTGTAGGCTGACGTGCAGCGCTGCCTGAGCACTGGTTATCTTTCTCCACACTACCTTTGTCACTATTGAGGAGATTCTGTCTCCGAGGAAATACTGGCGTCAAAAGGTAAAACCAACAGATTCCTTTATCTCTCTGGGCGTTTAGTTCCCAGATGGGACCCCATTTCTTTCTAGACCTACAAGGGGACATTGCACGGAATGCACCTTTGTACATTGCAAGTATTTATACTTGCGCCAAGTGTCTAGCCGAGCTAGTTTGTCGTGCGTTTGATGCAGTTGCGGTTGCCAACTCGTACTTCAGAGAAAGATGGTTAGTTGAGAGGGTGTAGGCTGACGTGCAGCGCTGCCTGATCACTAGCTGTCGATCTCCGCACCACCCTTAACATGGAGGAAGATAAGTTCCTGTGAAGTGTTATTGTTCAAAGGGTAAACTAGTTCATTTTCCCTCCCCGCTGTCAGATCAGGTCTTCGTCCTGGGGAGGACGGATCTACTTTTATAAGTAGTGAACTAAGAATCTGACATAATTTTTTTTCTCGTTTTTTTTTTGCTAATAAATATAATATATTATTTAGCCTTGATTTTAATTTTTTTTTTATTAATAAAAACCAAATCTTTCTAAACCATTCCAATTGAGCTCTATTTTAACAATGATTGTAATAAGCATTTCCCTATTAATAAAAGCTAGATATGTATGTAATAATTTAATTGAGTAAAAACACACTAAGATAGATATGATAAGTGAGTATGGTGAGACAGGAGAGATTTGATTCGATTGAAGTAAAAGACAGAAGAATAATGTGAGTGATTATATTTAAAGATATACTAGAAGTTGGAAGCTTTGAAAGTTGTGTCTGATGGGATGTGATCATTGGGATCGAAGAAGAGGCTGGAAATATAAGCATATGAATATTGTGTGTGAGCGAAAGTTGAAAGCCATGCCTGAGAATGGTGATATATGAAACCTTAGACTTAGAGGAATATAATGTATGGTTTTGGAGTGTCAATTTTTTTTTATATGGCTATGATTTTGAGCTGTATCTTGTAGTGGTAATAAAAAAAAAGATATGTTATGGTTGTTGGTGTCAATTCTGATAGTATTTTGAAGTTGATGTTAGTAGTGTCAAAAAAAAAAGCGATATGTTATGGTTGCTGGTGTTAGTTTTGATAGCATTCTGAAGTTGGTGCCGATTCCAGTAGATTTGTAAAGTCAATGTATGCATGGAGGTTTGACTGAGGATTCCCGAAATGAATGAGGTATGTAAAAAGAAGATTCAAGACATTGCTAAAAAAAAAAAAAAAAATTTTTTTTGTTTCTGTTGCGGCTCTGTTAAGGTTATTTCTGATAGACAGTCCTCTCCAAACAGTATTGACTGAACACTAGACAGTATTTCAACCTTTGTATGGGTGGTAGTGTCACTGTGGATTAGCCTGCTATGTTTCTTTCTCTTATGGGTACACATAGGCTGTTTGCACCACAAATTGATAATGTCAGTCTACAAAAAGACTTTTGTAAGCCGTAGACTCTAATTTATTAGTGAGTATCTACACAGTCTACAAGAAGACATACAAAGCAAACCACCTTATACTCTATATTTTATTATGGCACAGCCAAGGTATTGGCAGACAAGCTGGTGTGTGCGTCTTTATATAAAGAAAGACTGGGATTTATACAGTACACTTATACATTTTGAAGACAGGTATTTAACCCAAAAAAAGAAAAAAATGCCCTGATAAATTTAAATTTTCCAAATATAGTATCGAGCCCGCAAAGATATCGACGAGAAATGCGTTGGTACCCACAGCCAAAGATTGCGGGATCGAAACCTCTTTTAACCGCATTTTAAATTTTTCAATTTTTTCATTTTTTCATTTTTTTCATTTTTTTCAATTTTTTACTTCTTTACACCAATTTACTCTCATACTTTTAATAAATAGATTTGAGACAAAGACTTCAAGTATGTTATTTAATATAACACATAAAAAGTATCCTATGTATTTTTCTTTTTTTCTAAAGCCTAATATAGAATATTATAACATATATTACACAGCCATCCATTTTAAGAGTGTCTGTCAATTTCACTATCCTTTTTCTTTTTTTTTCTTTTTTTACTTTGTATATGTCTTGGGTTTTGTGCAGATGCTCCAATTAGTGCTTTTTTGTATACATAAGCATAGAGTTCTCTTTTGTATGTAAATACTATATATTTGTTTCAAGACAAAATCTTACCGAGTTTTGAATATACTAAAAGAAAGCTTTTTGAAGTCGGATCGAATAGTATATTTTAATTCAAGGTACACAGTCTTAGATAAGATTTAGATATGTGCCACCATTAAATAAATTGTCCAAGGACGGATCAAAACTCGACTTAACGAGTGTAGATTTGTGCACAGCTGGTGGGTTAATCCAGTTCTTACTAAGTAGCAGAAGAAAAAATAAGTGTCTAATATATTGTCTAAGAATTTTGAAATAATATACAATTCAATTGATACACATTTCTGTCTGCATAAGTGAACCCAGTTTTTTAATCCAAATAATGGGCTATATATATATTCTGAAGATATGGTCTCCACATTTAATATCTGATTTGAATGACAAAGAAGGTCTCACAGCCTCAAATATATGCCTACTAATATACAATATTTAATAAAGAATAATACTTTAAAAGAATAAAATTTCAATTGGTATATAGTAATGCTGTAAAGTTGCAAAAACCGAAGCTAATATCAAATTAACGTGGAGTAAATTTGATTAAAGACGATCGATTCTTTCAATATACTCATACAACAAGCTCTACAGCTATAAAATCTTTAGGATCGTGTCTTTATTAAATTTGTCTATATAATTGATTTAATAGACATTTATGGGAATCAGCCATTTTTGTCTCAGCTAAAAATTTTTAAGGGGTGCATGCATATTTGACATGATGACTTCAGCACTTCTCACAGCCCTCAATCAAAAGTATATCAATAGTGCAAGAGTGCGCAGCAAATTTTTCTCTCTTTTACCTCTTTCCTACACTTTCCGCCTGGTCCAAAAGATATGTATCTTCTTCTTCTTTGCCTTTCTACTAGAATATATTTATCCATCTACTTTGCTAGCAGTGACGAGTGTCCGTGTTTCTGTCCATGGGGTTTTTGTGCCTCCGTACTCTTTCGGTAAGCTCTTTTTTTTTCTTTTACTAAGCTTTATCTAAATATTCATTCTTTATCACTGCAAAAATCACCCATTTTTATTTGCGGCCAAATAGAAAACTATCTGGTGAAAATTTGAAAAAATCCACCTCAATTGACTTTATTTTATTTTATCGGCAATGATACTCATAAGAGTTTTTCATTGGTTGTTGATTCGATTGCACCTTTTTACGATTTTTTTTTTACTATAAAAAGAATTAAATAAAATATGTTCCTGAGACTTTTTCCATTATTGTTAATTTTTTCAAACCTAAAAGCTTAATAATATGTCTATCTTCAACAACTGAGGTATTCGGGATTGTTTATGGGTTAGTATCTCAATAATGGGAAAAGTAGATACTGTGAGAGTGTTATTTATTAAAGAGACAAAATAATATTGTTTATATCTGCTACTATTCAAATCCCTGTAATTCAAATCCCTGTTGTGTAATGGTTGGTTTACACTGTATGAGTGTGTTGTGTACGTGTGCCTGATGTGTAACAGTTCCGGAGATTGTTAACTTGCCAGGTTCATTAGCAAGAAGGAACCAGTGTTTGGTTGTAGGGTCTGTTCTTCACTCAATTGTGGTGTGTATACCACAACAACAACCAAAAGAAATGCAAATGCTCGGTTTGCGCAATCCATTACAAAGGATTTGTTATGGTATCTCCTCAGACATTCCGAAGACATGCTGACAATGATAAAATTCGACTCTTTGTTGCTCCTTTTTCTTGTAAGCCAAGAGTTATAATAATAATAATAATAATAATAATAATAATAAAAAGTAAAAAGTAAAAAGTAAAAAGTAAAAAGTTTGATGTCTGATTGAAAAGATTTTTTTTTTTGATTTTTTATTACAGCATTGCAAACAGAAGAAGAACCCGCAGTGAATGACATTGACATGGATATTGACATGAACATTGATGTTAACAATGTCGAAGATCAAATTGAATGTATGTATATACTTTTATTAAATCTTTAAAATAATTATAGCTAATATCTATTTTATCTTTTAACCCACAAAAATATTAAAAACTTATCTTTTTTTTAGCTGATTCTCTGTTTGGTTCCGAAAGTGATAATGAAGTTGAAAGCGCTGAATCAATTGATTCTGACAGTTCGGATGATCCTGATAATTCTGAAGATGAGTTTGAAGGCATTGAAGGTTAGTAAAAAAAACGTAAAACTGAAACCTCGAAGCAAAAATAAGAAATTAATCCAATAATAACTCCAACAGAACAATTTGTCTCATCTGATATGCCATCCAATACCACGCACGCATTCATTGCCTATTTTGCTGCATTTTTCAACTCCAAATATGTTGGCAATTCTGGGGGTGTTGTCTTGATTAAATTTATCAATGAAGTACTTGGTCATTTCGGGCAATCGTTCCGTCTTTCGTTGAGCGTGAGTGGCCTGTATTCCTTGACTGGCCTCATCACATTGACCAAAGTAGTTCAGCGATTCGTCCTATGCAGCCAGTGCAACATAAAGTACCGTGAGTCGGAAGGCGTTCCCCAGTGTTGCGAGTTCATGAAGCTGTCTGGGGCTTCTTGTGGGCCCCCTCTGTTTCTTGAGTCAAGCAGGGTCATGGCCATTCCCAAGAAGGTTTATCAGTACAACTCGGTAATTAATTCCTTGGGCATGCTTTTCCGCCGTCCTGGATTTGAAGAAAAAATCAATGAATGGAGATATCGACAGTCTGTTCCTGGAATGTTGTTTGGCATCTATGATGGTGAAAAGTGGGGCGCACTCAAGGACAACTGTGGTCAGCAATTCGTTGCACATCAGAGATCAATCATGTTTAGTTTAAACATCGATTGGTTTGAGCCATTCGATGGAGTGACCTACTCGTGTGGTGCAATTTACCTCTCTGTAAATAACCTGCCAAGAGAGGACTGGTACAAAAAGGAGAACGTTGTTCTTGTGGGCCTTATGCCAGGTCCAAGCGAAGCCATGGCAAGCCATATAAACCATTATCTCCGTCCTCTTGTTGAAGAGCTTAACGAACTCTATCCAGGTGTTATTTTGCCTACCGCCCAATGTCCTTCTGGCGCTGTTGTCCACGCTGCTATACTTCTTGTCACTTGTGATATTCCTGCCGCCCGAAAGACATGTGGATTCACTTCACATGCTAGTACCAACGCTTGCTATCATTGCAACTGGAAGTTTACTTGTATTCCAAATACAAGTAAGATAGACTATTCCGGATTTGTGTTTTCCGATTGGGTTCTTAGCACAGATGAAGACAATTGCCATAATGCTGAGAAGTGGAGATGCGCAATAACCAAAGTCGAAAGAAAGCGACTGGAAAAAGAGAATGGAGTCTGCTGGTCGGAACTCCACTCTCTGAAATACTTCAATCTTGTCAAGTGTACACTGATCGACCCCATGCATAACCTCTTCCTTGGGACAGCAAAGCGCCTCATGAACAAATGGAGATCGTCAGACTTGATCACTGATGATCACCTCAAAGAAATGCAAGAACAAGCCAACAGTATGGTCTTACCACCTGATTATACATCACTGAGAAAGAAGATCGGGAAAGGCTTTCCATTCATGAAGGCAGATGAATGGAAGTCTTGGTGCTTAGTGTACTCGTCTATGCTTCTACAAGGCCGTTTGCCTGGTGCGTACCTTGATAATTGGACGGCATTCACAAATGCATGTCAGTATCTTGCAAAGCCATCAATCTCATATGAAGAAATCGACGAGGCACACAAGTCGTTAGAGGTTTTTGGTGCAGAGTGTGAAGTGTTGTATAACAAAGATTTTATCTTGCCAAATATTCATTTGCACTTACACCTGAAGAAAACAATCAAGAACTTTGGTCCGGTCTATGGGTACTGGCTTTTCAGTTTCAAGAGATTTAATGGCACAATCAAGAACTATTCGACAAATCGAAGGGACGGGTTTGAGAATACATACATGCGCAGATATATTGAAGATACTTACAAAGGTGACCTTGTTCGCTCACTTTTGCCATCAATTCCACCTGCCCATGCCGATATACTTCTCGATCTCTCCTCTGCCTCTGCCTCTGCCTCTGCCTCTGCCTCTGCCTCTGCCTCTGCCTCTGCCGATCCTGGTATGCCTCAGTTTAATCTTGATGCATTCATCAATGCTGCCGACAGGGATATTGATATCATCAAAGGAAACAAGCCACTACCGCAATCTGCATATCCTTTGGCTTTAACAGATGAAGTTGTAATGAGAGAAGAGGAGTACACGCATCTGTTGGCGTTTTATCAGGAGGTGTATGATGACCAGGACCTTGTCCACTATCACCAGGCTGGTTTTTTCTCAATCGTTTGTAAACAATCGGATCAAGAAAATTGCATCGATTAATCTTTTAGGGCAAGTCTACCAAAGCAGCCATGGAAATATGCAACGCAGATCATTTATTCAAGCATGCTTTAGTACAGATGATGAGGATGGCGACGTTGAATACACTGGGCAAATACAGTACCTCTTTGTAAGTACTGCTGTCAACTCGTTTGCTGGTCATTCGAGCCAGCATGTATTTGCATATGTATGCTGGTATATGCCAACTGAGGGGAGTGATGATGTGAACGGTGGAATGGAGTTGAAGGAGTTTAAGTTTTCTGAGAGTAACTTCCAGAATATTTTACCAGGTCATCGCCTCTACAAGCCAGTTGCTGTTGACAATTACAGATGTGAAGATGGCGTAACAAGAATGTGTGTGGTTTTATTGCTTCGGAAAATACATGCATAAAAAAAACAATTAAATACTCTCTATTATTATATTCACTTATTTCTTTTAATTTATTTCTTTATTTCTTTATCTTTACTCTATTCTTTTATTCTTTCATTTATTTCCTTTTACTTTTTATTCACATATAATATATATATTTACATTACAATTTCATTAAAACGCGTAAAAAACATCAGACTGGTTGAGATGGGTTGCAAAAAGAAAATTTGTTTTTATTTTATTAATTTTTAATAGCCCAGTCGGGCAGCGGGGGGTCAAATGATGACGGAAGATCCTTTGGCCTGATTACACGGTTACGCTCCAACAAGCTGTTTGCTCGATTCCCCAATCCGTCTTTTGCAAACCGATCAACAGTGTCTAAGAATGTCTGTAGCTGTTTTTGTAAAGAGTAATAATATAATATAAGGAATTGTAAGTAATAGTAAGCAATTGTAAATTAATAAAATATAAAATATAAATTGTTAAAGATATTAACTCTACACAAATAAAGTACCTCATCACTTCTCCAGCTAGGACGGAATGCTCGTACTTTACGGCCATCATCTGACTCGTCATCAGACAATACCTTTATCTGAAATACATTGCTGCAGTCAGTTCTCCCCATGAGAGTGTCAATATTTTGCTTGTACCGCTTATAAGCAAGTTCTCGGCGTTTGAGCAACTATATATTTTATTTTAAATTGTTAGATAATGAATCAGCACTCAATTAAATTATAAGCTTACTATCTTTTTGCGTCCATATCATCTTGCTTTTTGATTGCGAGCTGTGATCAAGTCAGCTGCAGTGTTGTAGACGCGGCTCTGGTTTCTATAGTGATTCTTCATTATTCTTTCAGGATCATTCGGGCGGATTCCAAAGGAGTCTTCCTGCTTCCTCAAGTATGAGATCAGAGCAATGGCAAGAGCCTGATTGTGTGTGCTCATGAAGCCAGTCGTAAGACTCCACCCTGGTCTTGTGTTGTTTTCTGCAACGATTTCCTCATCAGTACTTTTCAGGTCTGGTTTCTTCACATAGTCATTAATGACTCTCTATAAGAAACGTGTTAGATCAATTAATATTCAATCGTATTAGTATTAGATAGTTTACCGAAATTTATGTAAATCTTTTTCCAGGAGTGTATTCATCATTGAATGAAGAGAAGTCAGGTACAACGCTAGAAACTGCGGCAGTGTTTCCTTTTGATACGGCCTCCTAAATAACTACTTGGCTATCTATGATGTCCTTAATTGCGGTCTTTAGGAAAGCATCGTTTTGGGTCGACAAAGTTACAGCCGTACTGACATTTGTAACAGTTTCACCCATCTTAGTGACAAGGGCTGTCAACGCATCAATTTTTTGGTTGGTTGACTCCACCACGGCAAGGACTTGCTCTAACGAGAGAGAGATATTGGGATCGGTAGAAGCTACAGGGACTACGGGAGCTACAAGAGCTACAGGAGCTACAGGAACAACTGGTTTTTGGGCTTGGACAAGAGGTGCACGAGTTGCGTTTGCCAATTCACTACGAGCAACAGCAACAAGTCTGCAGTTTGTTCGGCGCGAGGTAGAAGAGGCAGTGTTGTTCATTTTCTGTCAATAAGCAAAAAGTTAGTATACAATAACTGTACGTTGTACTTGAGAGATACATACAAAGTGTAGAGTGTGAGTAGAGAAGATGTGAACTTCATATGTTTTACTTGCTATTTATCCATAATAATATGAAACTTCTTTACCAATATTTAAACGGCTTCATTACCAGCTCAGTGAAACATAGCCTTTCAATACAGAATATATGACAATGGCGTCTTTGGGATTTTTTTTTCTTTTTTCTTTTACTTTTATCAACCGCAATTTCTCAGGGTCAAACGGCTTAAATGATAAAGTATTTTTTTTCTTTTTTTTTTGTTGTTTTTTATTTCTACTGCACTTTTTTGGAAAAAAAATTCACACACTTCTTTTACATCTTCACTCATGTCTTTTCTTGTCTATTTTTTATTATAGATCACTTGCATCACAGTAATCATCACATACTTGCACATGAACATGAATATACACTGCTTCTATCCCACTCTTATTGTTACGCACGCATGTTTGGGTATGCCAAGGTAAAGAGGAAATCTTATTTTAACTACTATTACATGTATTTTTTTTTCATATTAATTGTGCTGTTTACATAGACTTTACAAAACGTTGTCATGATGCCTGATATGTTTCTCTTAAAGGAATATTATGGTAAGATAATATATTTATCTATTACTATTATATATATATATATGTTTTTTTTGTGTATTAATTTATATGACAAAGATTTTTTTAAAGATATATACTGCTATCATACTGCAAAACAAGTATACCACCTTAGTTATTCCATGGTAAGAACAATACTATTATATATATTTTATGTTAAACATATTGTTAACCGCAATATACTCAATATTGTCTATCAATATTACTGGGCCACAGTTCTTATAACCGATGTTATTTAACTTTTCATGATGTATTCTGCCAAACGTACACTCAATGTATGTATTGCTTTCACATTTATTAAACTGTTTTGGACCATCAATTAACTTTTTGTCTTTCACTTTTAGATTTTTCAGTAACCCGAGTAAGTAAATTATATGAATTAAATAAATATCACAGCAATTATGTATAACTAGAAAAAAAACAATATCAAATATGTAACAGAAGCTTTTAACGATAAGAATAAATGAATAACTGTAATTTTATTACATTCAATTGAAAATATTTTTCTATCGAATAAAGAAAAACCAAACCATTAAGCCAACCCATGTTTTCCAAATCAAAAATAAATAAATAAACCAAAATCTCGAAAATCGTGTGCAAAAAAATTATCTGTTTTTATCCTGTCTATACGTCTAAGATTATCTGTTTTCATCCTTTTTGTGGCCATCAAAATATAAAATAAAGTGCAAAATATAATCAGAAAATATGATAAAAACACTTTGTTCCAATAAGAATTGGCTGTTATAGGATATAAAAGGTGTAATGAACAGCGGTCTTTAAGATGTGATAATATCCGTTTTAGGAAACTGAGTAGAAGAAGTAAGAGGAAGAAGAGTTGAGCTTGTGAAAGATGATGTTTATTGACAAGAATATGAAGCTAATTTATATGAAAAGACTACGGATATTGATGCAGACAGAATGATGAAGAGAGAGAGTATTTTATGCACTCATATGTACCTTCTTGCAGTAGTCCTTTACTACTGCAAGTAGTGCATCTGTGACTCTCAGTCACGACATCCGGGGGGTTTAGAGGCTGGTGTCCCCGACGGCCGAGACAGGGACTTCCAGTCTGTGGTACGCCTTAATTCTTTGAGCATGGACTTGATTGAGTGCGCAATGATTGCTTGTAGGGGAGGGTCTTAGAGAGTATCGGTCATGACTGATGGCTTCGATTTCATAAGGACCCTTCCATGCCTGAGAGAGTTTTCCGGACTGGCCAGGTCGAGAGAGCTGTCAGGTGAACACCAGGACTTCTTGTCCAACATGGAAGTCTGGGGCCTTATGGAGCTTATTGAACTGTATGGCATTGGCCGCGTGTGTCTGAATGTTTTGAAAGCAGACAATCTCAATGGCTGTGGCCAAGGTTGCTTGCATGGTTGTGGCATAACTGTTCGTTGTCTGGCCTAGGGGCTCATTATCGGGAGATGCTGGAGTTCGAGGTTCCCACCCATGGACCAGGGAGAACGGAGTGAAGCCCGTAGCTGAGTGTACAGAGGAATTGTACGCAAGCTGGAAGAGTCCCAGGTGGTGGTCCCAAGTGGCATGGGCAGACGCCTGGTCCAGGAAGGCTACGATCATGTTGCGGAGAGTTGACATGAACCTTTCGACTAGTCCATTGGATTGTGGATGGTATGCTGGCACAAACCTCTGTTGGATATCCAACTGTGCGGCTAGTGTCTTGAGGAGCCCTGAGGAGAATGGTTGACCATTGTCAGACTGTATGACTCTGGGGACTCCATGCTCTGAGAAGACTCTTGAGGCTAGAATGGCTACTACGGTGGACTCGTGGAGGTTTGTAACAGGAGCCATGACCACGTATCAAGAAAAGAGGCATTGAACTACCAGAATATATATCAGTGCTCTTGAATACTGAGTGGTAGTGGACCAAACGCGTCTATTGCAATGTCATCAAAAGGGACCTGTGCGAGTGCAGTGGCCACCAACTGAATGTAACCCAATGTATGGCGAGGTGAATTGGTCTCTTGACAAACGCCACAGGTCAATACCTTCTGTGTGACCCAGCTGCGAAGGTCTGGAAACCAGAATAGACGTTGGAACCTTTGTAAAGTTTTTGAAAGGCTCAGATGTCCAGCCGTGGGTATCCAGTGCAGAAGGGTGAAGACGTCCTCGCAGAGAGACTGGGGCAATACAGGTCGCGAACCATGAAGCAACAGACTGAGGGAGATGGTGAAAGTGTCAGCTAAGACCGGTTCGCTGAGTATGGCTTGACATTCCACGTCGGTGGCTTGTGCCGTGACCAACTCATCAAGGCCGATGGCATTGATGGAAGGGTATTGGGAGAGTGCATCTGGTCCCGAGTTGTCCTTGCCTGGTCGATATACAATGTTGAATGAGTGGGATTGCAAAAGGAGAGCCCAACGAGCCAGCAGACCACGCAGGTCCGAGGTTTTGAGCAGAAATTATAACACTTGATGGTCCATTACTACAGTGAACTGCATCCCTGTCAGATAATGTGCGAACTTCTTGATCTCCCACACGATGGCAAGGGCCTCTATCTCTGTTACGCCATAGTTTCGTTCAGCTGGGCTCAGAGCAAGAGAGGTGAATGAGATAGCATGGGGCTGTTTGGATGGGTCTTCGCGTTGGGAAAGTATGGCGCTGATCCCTGCTGTACATGCGCCATCTGTATGTAGCTCGAAGGGTTGGCTGAAATCCAGAAATCGGAGGACAGGTGCCGTGAGCAGGGCTGACCACAACAGGTCTACAGCTTGTGCATGATGTGAGGACCAAACCCAGGTGGCGTCTTTGGCGAGCATGGCGTTGAGGGGTGCAGTGAGTTGAGAGAACTGGGGTATGAAACACCGCTAGTACCCACAGAGGTCAAGGAAGGAGCGCAACGAATCAACATTGCTAGGGACTGGGAAGGGCACAACCGCTTTGATTTTATCAGGGTCGGTTTTCAGGCCAGACAGTGTAATCAGATATCCCAAGTACTTGACCTTGGTGCATGCAAAACGACACTTGCACAGGTTGACTGTTAGTGAAGCCTTCTGCAATCTGGTGAACACAGCGTCCAAGTCTTGCAGGTGCTGGGTGAAGGTTGGGGAGAAGACAATGATATCGTCCAAGTACACGAGACACAGCTGCCACTTCAGGCCCGCAAGGATGGCATCCATCAGGCGTTGCATGGTCGCCGGAGCATTGGAGAGCCCAAATGGTATGCGGACGAACTCGAACAGTCCCTTGCGGCAGACAAAAGCTGATCGTGGCCGTGACTCCTTGTCAAGTTCGATCTGCCAGTACGAGGCCATGAGGTCTAAGGTGGAGAATATTGCCGAGTTCCCCAAGGAGTGTAGAGTGTCATCGATCCTAGGTAGGGGGTACACATCTCACATAGTAATGCTGTTGAGGCGCTTGTAGTCCACGCAGAACCAGGGTGATCCATCCTTTTTCGTGATGATGATGACAGGGGAACTCCAAGGCAAGTGTGAAGAGGCTATGATGCCATCGCGTAACATCTCGTTGATCAGTGCGCCAATCTTGTCGTTCTCAGCCACTGATGCCCTGTGTGGGGGCCCCGAGATTGGTGGGTGATGGCCTGTGTTGATATGGTGTTGCACTTGGGTAGTAACAGTGTGAGCCTTTGCCACAAACACGGTGCGGAACTTGTTGAGCAAGTTCACAATGTCAGTCTTCTGGTCCTCAGGCAGGGTCTCATCCATAGGAAGATTGGTAATGGTAAATGGAACGGGGCTAAGAGCGGGCAGAGAAGAAGTGTTAGAACTGTCCTTTATAGTAGAGGTCGAATTAATACTTTCCATATCCTCTGAAGTACCCAGGTTGGCGACCTTAACCATGGCCATGCCTTGTGAATCGAATTGGACTAGTCCAGCAGCAATGGAGCAGAGACGAGATGAGAACAGCTCAGGGCTGGTTTCTACGTACACCAACTTGTTGATGGGGCCTTGGACCATGTGATAGCAGTGGGACATGGCTGGCAAGCAGACGTGTCCAGTTGCTTGTATGGCTGATGGGGCTTGTGTGGTAGGCTGGGTAATGGTATTACATTTGTCGAACTTGATACTGTCTGCAGAGGTATCAATCACTGCTGACAGACGCTTCAAGTCGGGGTATCCCAAGATGATATCGTGAGCCAGTCGGTCTACCACTTGGAAGGTAAGTTCCAGAGGGCGCCCAAGGAGAGTGACTGGAAGGGAGACGGTTCTGTGAGAGCGTGCCATAGCTCCAGCAGCAGTGTTGAATACAATGGACTGATCATGATCGACCTTGGCAACTATGCCTTCCAATGCAGAGGCACGGATTGCAGTGATGGCAGATCCTGTGTCTACGAGCGCAGACAGAGCCTTGTTCTGTATGACACATGGTACTGAAGGCCCTGCTGACATTGTGGGCTGAGAGGAGCCGGTAGTGGCCAACCAAGCAGGCGTGATGGTGGCGGCCAGAGGGGGCTCTTCTTCGACTATGGCAGGTTGATAGCTGATGGCAGCAGAGTGAGAAACCCCAGGGCAGTCCTTGTTCCGATGGGCCCCTTTGCAGTAACCACAGATGGGTCTCCCGTCTGGTCCCCATAGACTTGGGACTCCATCATGAGGGCCATGTTGCTTGGGCCGTTGAGGAGAGGCAATCGCAGCAGAACAATCCATGGGCTCAAATTGGCAATGGAAGTTGCGAGCGCGCGGTGGTGCCAAGTCACCGATGCAGTCCTCGTGCATTACGGCCTTCTCATAGACGGTTTCCCAGTCATCCAGGCTATTCAGTGTGGGTTCAATCAATTGACGAAGGCGTGGCTTGATGTTTTTGAGGAAGATGTTCAGGACGGTGCAGTCGGATAGGCGACCAGAATCTGGCATGTCATTCACCAAGGTAGCGAATTTGACTCGAAACAGCTGGATGGGTAGGTTTCCCTGGGTAGTGGCCTGGAGTGTCCGATGTCGTTGAGCCTTCTCGATGTCTGGATCAAGACCGTACGTGCTGATTAGCAGGTCTTGGAGCTCCTCCCAGTTGTTACGGCAACCAGAGACGTGGATCCACTCAGCAATGTTGGGTGGTAGGTAATGGCAGAGAAACTTGCCCAGGAGGTCGGTGGGAACCCCAGCCAATGTTGCCTCAGTGTGGTATTGGTGCAACCACAACTTGATGTACATGGAGGGTTTGTAGGTTGGAACCGAGAGTGATTTGGCTGCAGAGGCCAAGTAAAGGGCGGTGAGCATGTCTGCGGAAGACATGCTTGGAGGCGTGATGCCTGAGAGAGGGGGCACTGTTATGGTTGGGGGTTTCAGAGGAGGATCCTGGCCAATAACCTGGCTGGCCCAACGAGTAGGGTTGTGAATACTGTCAGCAGACATGGGGGTGGAAAAGACGAGAAAATATTTATATGAGGGGGGTGGTAGAGCAGAGGCAGAGGAAAAGTAGCTTCTCCACCATGTAATGAACAGCGGTCTTTAAGATGTGATAATATCCGTTTTAGGAAATGGAGTAGAAGAAGTAAGAGGAAGAAGAGTTGAGCTTGTAAAAGATGATGTTTATTGACAAGAATATGAAGCTATTTTATATGAAAAGACTACGGATATTGATGCAGACAGAATGATGAAGAGAGAGAGTATTTTATGCACTCGTATGTACCTTCTTGCAGTAGTCCTTTACTACTGCAAGTAGTGCATCTGTGACTCTCAGTCACAACAAAGGGCATATCTATAAAGAATATAGCACAGATACTATATTAACTAAAGGTTGGTGTAAAGTGTGGACAAATAACCCTTCCGTATTAGGATTCAATACCAATTTTCATTGAATAAAGTGCTTCATTAATCAGATAAAATTAGATTTTCAGCAGGATAAAAACCCTTAATTTTTCTAGTAATTACTAGTTTTGATATTCATTTCTAGCCTCCAGCCATTCAAATCAAGTGTCAAGGTTCAGATCGCCCGTCCATGGTCATAGGTATAAAAAAACATTATGGGCAAATACTCACTAGATTTAATATATCTCCAGTCTCCAGCTATCCAGGTCAAGCATCAAGATTCCGATCTCCCCACCATGGTTATAGGTATAAAAAGCATTATGGGCATATACTCACTAGATTTAATATATCTCCAGTCTCCGGCCATCCAGGTCGAGCTTCAAGGTGCTGATCTCCCATTATATGGTTATAGGTATAACAAAAATGGATGAGCAATCACACTCGGCTTTATTTATTTCTAGTGTTGAATCCACCAAGATCATGCTTCACAGATCCGGATTCAGTCCATGGCTATAGGTATACAAAAACTCGATGAGCAATTACTCATTGGATTTTATATATTTCTAGTGTCTACTCATCCACTGCAATTATCAGGATCCGATTTTTTATGAATTGTTATAGCTAACCAAGTTTCCTTTAAACCTTTACTTAAAACAAACTATACTCTTTATTTATATTTTCTTTTGATGGCAAAGAACGATGATCAAATATACATCCATTATGGAAGGTATACAAGTCGTTCTTGGCCATTACTAACCTAGAAGTATATATAACTATTGTTTTTACTCTCCAGGCCAAACAGCAAGGATCAAAACTCAAATTTAGGCTACAGTTAAACAAGTCTTCTTGAGCTTTTACTTACTGTCATTTATATATTTCTAGTGTTTTTTTTCTTAAAGTTCAAATATCAAAGATCTGATTTCAAATCAAGGTTACGGGTACACACTTTTCTCTCTGTCTTTACATGCTTTCTTTCGTATTGGCCTAGTGTGTTTATGATCTGGCTACACAATAAAAAATTTGTTTTCCTTCCAGTGCGACAGGTATATACATCTAGTTTGGCCTTTAGTTATTGTTGGCTTTATTTCTCTACTGGCTTCACAGTCCAAGCCAGCCATCATGGATCCTATATCCGTCCAGTGTTACAGGTATACACTTCTCTTTGGGATTTTACTTACTGTCGGTTTTAATTTCCTACTGTCCTTAAAGTCAAGGCCAACGACCAATCATCTGGTATCCATGGAGAATTACAGATATAAAAATGTTATTGGGCCGTTACTTATAATTGTTTTTGTTTCTCTAGTGTCCGTGCAGTCAAAGGTAACAAGCAAGAACCCAGTCTCCATATTGGGATATAGTGTTACATATCTCTTTGATTTTTGACTTGCTGCAAACTGTATTTTTTCTCGTGACTTTACAGTCAAATTCAACAGTGATCTTAGGGGACAGGGGTTTTTGGCTATGGGAACGGGGGGTAACGGCACCACACAATTTAAGGTGACTGTAAGTCCAAGGCCCAGCTATAAAGTGTCTTGAAGAACCCCCCATCCCCATTCTTTATAAGCACACCCCTGTCCCCATCTTTAGATCATTCCAATTTCTCGGGAAAAATAAAAACACCCCCTTTCTTAAAGTCATTAACATTTAGCTGTAAGAATAAAAAGTAATATTTCCAAATAACAAGATATGATGCCTATTTTATGTTATGTACATTGCATACATTGCATACATTATGTACATTGCTTACATGAATCAATAAAAATACTTATATAACTACATTGCTCTTTTATTAAAGATGAACACCAACTTCAATACCCCTATTGAGAAGATGTACTCGCTTAAAACAACTCTCTCATTCCCCAAGAATGGTTATCCTGACAAGCAGAGTGTTCTTCAAGCCGTAAATAATTACGCCCTTTCTAATAACTTCACCATTAAGATTAAGGATGGAAAATTCCCTATTCTTCACATTGCTTGTTCAAAGGCTGGTGTTTATCATGACAAGCGCAATATAACTGATGAGAAAAGAAAGAAGACGCCCAACTCTTCTCTTACTGGATGCCCCTATCTCTTAAGATTTTCTTATAAGAAGAAGAGCAAAAGATATCTTTCTTTGCCCGCCTATGGGGAAAACGAACATTGCCACAACCATCCTGTCACCCCTGAGAATTTGGCTTCTTCTCACCAAGGAAGAATGTCTCTTTTGACTGCTGAAGATGCCACTATTGCAAAGACAATGTTGGAGAATCATGCCAAGTCCCGTGATGTTCAGAAGGCAACAAGTGACAAGGTGACAGGAATGAGAAAGCTGAGGATCAGTGATATCAACAATCTCAAGTACAGTGCTACTCGTGGTGATGAGGAGTCTGCCCATGGCGCTACTGAGCTCATCAGAACAATGGAAGCAAAGGGATTTTCCGTTCTCTACAAGTTTAATGAGAGAAATAGACTCACTCATATATTTTTTATGAACGATATAATGATCAAGAGAGCTCAACGTTTCCCTGATGTCTTTATTGTGAATGCTACATACAAGACAAACTGCGTGAAGATGCCATTGGTTTGCGTAGAGGGTGTCAGTAACCTAGGTGGAGAAAGGTTGAAGAGCTTTCCTGTGGCCTTTGCATGGGTAGCCGATGAAACAGAGAAGAGCTATGTCTGGTTTGTGAAGTCTCTGAAAGCAATTGTTTTGGAGGGGGTTGAAAAAGTTCCTATATTTGTTACAGACAAATGTAAAGCATTGATGAATGTGCTTGATTCCGAGTTCCCCTTGGCCAAGAAGCTTCTGTGTGGTTGGCATATAATCAACAACATTGCCAAAATGGCAAAAAAAACAATGAAGCCAGGAAAAGAAAAAGAGTTGTGCACACATTTAGTCAACAAAATGATCTTTGGAGATAAACGCGATGTCTTTGATGAAAATCTTGAGCTTTTCAAATTGCTCTCATCTCGGAAAGATTTCCAAAGTAAAGAGCAGCTGGAAGACAATAATGATGATTCTACAAAGGTTGTAGAAAAAAGAACTCTGGAAAAGTACTTTGAAGATGAGTGGATGCCGTGCAAGGAAAAGTGGGCTGGCTACCTCACTAGTCAATTAAAACATTTTGATTGTGTGACAACACAATATGTTGAGAGTGGCCATAATACTCTGAAAAAAAATCTCAGCTCTTCAGTCATTGAACTCTTCATTTGAGCAAATTTGCTCCTATCTTCTCCAGTTTGAGGGCGACTATCAGGACCTTGAGTTGAATAAGGCAACTATTACAGATGCCAAAATATACCATGAACCTCGCCTCTGTGGATTGATTTACCACGTCTCAAGAATTGGTTTGATCACCATCCGTGATGAGCTTCTAGAAGAGGTTGTACCTGGTGAGCTTTGCAATTGCAGAGTAAAAGTGGTGTTTGGTCTTCCTTGTCGCCATGATCTGCCAAGAGATTGTATGTTGCTATTATCAGACCTTCCTGAAAGATGGATTCTGTCTTCTTTGGGTGAACGTTTGAAGCAACTGGAATGTGACGTTTCTCTACAGAAAATTGACGTTGAAAAGCCTGCCCCGTGGGTGAAATGTATAACAAAGCTTGAACAATTGTTTCGTCAGTGTGAAGGGAATCAACAAGTCCAGAATCTTATGACAATGGTTGATGAACTTGTTGACAATGCTGGTGAAATAATTGACCGTCCAAATGTTGTATTTCCTTTGGCAAGTGAGGTAAAAGCTCCTGGAAGACCTAAGCACGTCAAAAGGAAAACTGCTCTCCCAAAGGACTTTGTCCGTCACAAGCACAGACATCTCCTTGTGCAAAAAAAACAAAATAAGCATGCAACATATACAAACATGATTTCACAATCTAATACATATTTATTCTTTCTTTCTTTAGAATGATATCAGAAGTATTTTGAAAGAAGGACTTAAAGAAGTGATGAAGGAGTTCTTAGAGGAGGAGCCTCTCAAAAAAAGTAATGTATAATTGTTTTTTTTGTGTAATTATAATGTAATATCTAATGCTTACTATTTCTAGTCATAAAAGAAATAAAAAAAGAAACCCAATTCGCTGAAAAACAAGAGCCTCTCGAAGAAGGTAATTTTTGATAACTTATAAATGAATCACAAAATATTTTGCATGGTTTGCTCACACATTGCATGTTTTCTCTATAGCTAAAACAACCAATTTTGCTAAAAAGCAAGAGCCTCTCGAAGAAGGTAACCAATAAGATATTTTACTAAAATTAAATGCTAAATGCTACATTGTTTTTTGTTTCTTCTTAGCTGAAAAATATTCCTCTGGAATTAAAAAACCTAAACATCTCCAAGACAACTACTGATACGATTTGCCTAGTCCGAAAAAAACAAAACAAAAATGTGCATGACTTTGCTCTGCCTGCTCAAATCGACTAAGCCACCATTTTGTTGACGTTTAACCCCAAGTCCGATGGTTGGTGCGGTTTCCGTGTATTTTCACACCTGAAAGAGGGTGGAGAGGATCAGTTTCCTTTGGTGAAGAAGAAGATGTTGGCCACGATGGCAACCTATAATAAACTTTACGAGCACAACTTTGGCATAGATGTTGCTGAAGTGACAGAGGTCATTGCCTTTGGCTCCAAGATTGACCCTGCTCTTGGGGAAAATATCCCATCTTACCCTTCCTCTATGTGGTTCTCTGCACCAGAATATGCTCAGATAATAGCTGACACCTATAACGAGCTTGTTTGTGTGTACTCTGACGATTGGAGCGTCTTGTCTGTAACTTTCCTTCCCCTCCATGATTGGAAGCCTCTCAAAAGAAAGTCATTGCCAATGGTCTTGCACCATGTACATGGGTGCCACTGGACAACAATTAAAGTGAAGCCTCATGTACATCAGTCCTGGCCTGAGGTAAATGCACTGTATTTTGATGCTATCCATAGAGGGAGTATCATTGACTGCTTTTCCACAAGTTGGAATCATTGGGGGCAGTTCCCAAAGAACAAGTCTTATCTTTTACCCTCCACTACTACAACTATTACAATTACTACTACTGCTACTAACTCTCCTACAAATTCTCCCATAAATTCTTCTGATATTATTGACCTCACACATATATAACTTATCTATCTTTCTATTTTTTAATATACTTACTCCTATTTTTTTCTTTAATTTTTTAACAAACACAATTGCACCCAGTCTGTCTTTAATTTTAATGTTACATGTAAAACCCAGATACAGATATTATTGGCATCCAACTAATTGGAAGACTATATAATTGGCTTTTATTTTTTGGAGTACAAAGTCTGTGCATTTATAAGCAATCTGATTAGATCTTCATCTAATCACAGACGTGAATTTTACCATAAAAGATGTAAAACAGAAACGACGCATAGCTTTTGATAGATTTCTGTCTTAATTCGAATGCTAAAGCTTGGATATTTTGCTGTATTGCTGAAAAAATACATACATCTTTATATCCAAAATTTGGAGTTAATTTATTATGTTTTGGTTGAATAAACAAGCAAAATATACACTTTTTTCACGTTTTTAATCATTTGAGATAGATTGTTTTTGCTAATAAATATCCTTTCTACATAATAATATGGTCTAAAACTTTTACTGAAACGTTTTTTTACTATTTTCTATTGATATAAAGCATTTTCAAGTGATTTTTACTAATATTTTCAAATTGTTGTTTTTTTGTTCAATCTTTCACAAATGAAATTTACAGAACTTTTGTAATTCACTCATTAAACGTGATTCAAAAAATATTACAAAACAAACAAATACTCACTTTATGCAGAAAAAAGCAATGAAACCAACCATCTTACTCTCATATTTCTATCTATTTTTTTGAACAAGTTATGAATTTTTTAAAAATAAATAAAAATGAAAATGAAAAGTTACAGACAAATGTTCTTCCACTTTTGCATGATTTTTCTTAGTGAATAAAGACAAGTAATTATACTGGATAGGGACAGAGGGGTGACTGTTTTTTGGGGGACAGGGTGTTACACACAGAAACGATGGATGTTTGCTGGACAAGTTAAAAGTAGTCACGCCTCTAATTATCTGCTTGACTACTCACTATAAGCTTGTGTAACACTCTGTCCCCATCATCCAAAAACCCCCTGTCCCCTAAGATATACAAAAAATATAATAATAAAGGTACTGATGTTGCACAGAAATGTTGGCAAGATGAATTATTTGCATTATAGAAGAGGAATGTTACTAGCATAGGGGACCATGATTTCGAATGAGTACAATGTAGATGAATATGTTAACAAGGGAAAAGGAAAAAATATCATGTGTAGAAGGAACAGGGAACGGAAATGAGATTTTTTCTGTGCGCGGAAAAATTCTCCTCTTATCACCGAGGGCACAGCACCACATCAACAAACTATTGACGTCAGCCTCTCATAACACTGGAAAAATAGGGTAATTTCATCTGGATCAAATGTACCAAAAATGTAGATGATTGAGCCGATATCATCACAATTTTTGTGATATATCATTTTGAGTAATGGTACGATATCATCTATGGTGCTGATATGTATCATCATAACAACGGGTACACAAAAACCCAATGTAGAACGATTGTCAGTCCGCAAACTATGAAAACTGAATAAATATTGTAGTTATGCTTTACTCCTATCAAGTCTACCTCTTTATGTGTTATATTTTGAGGTCTATAAAGAGCTAACGTCCCATATTATTATTTTTACTGGGTTTTTTTATTGGCTGCAGAAATGCTTTAAAAACTATCAAAGAGATGATTGTAGGTTTTTTACAATATAAAGAAATGATGATAGTTGGTTTTCTATACATGCTCAAAGTAATGAAACTAGGTTTTTTATACACACAAAAGCAATGAAACTAGGTTTTTTTACAATGGAAAAGAGAAACAAAGCATGGGTAGATTTTTATAAACAAGCCTCTTTGGTTTGTTTATTTATTTTACTTTTATTTATTTATTTTTTGGAAAAACATTGGGTTATACATTTTTTGTTCAATTTTGTTTTATTTGATAGGAAAATCTTTTCTAAATAAAAATCCTAATTTCGTGACAGTTTTGATACTATAGCTATTATAATTGCTAATACTTCTTGCTCGCTATATATAATTTAAAGCCTTCCAGAAGTAGACATGGAATACATACTTTAATAGTGGGAATGCTATTAAAAAATGATTAATAGAAAAGAAGAATTAGTAAATGATTTAAATTCAAATTTCTTTATAAATACTTACAAGATGGAGAAGACTTGACATAAAATTGATATAAACATGCTCTTCAGAATTATCAAGACAATACCAGTAGTCTTTGAATAGAGATAAATTCTAAAAACAAATAATTATTAATATTGTGCATAGTAAAGGCGTATTTATTAAATATATTGTAGTTAACTTACCAAATATTACTGATTATACGTCTTCCTGCATAATATCAGACATAAATAATAAATTGTAATAGAAATAAATATATATTTATAAGGAAGACAAAAGAATAATTTGAATTTTTTTTAAGAAAAAAACTTACCATCATGTTCGATTAAGAGATGATGAGACTCAATGGAAATGAGTAGCAATGGCTAGACAAACAATATGATGAGTAACAAAGATCAGTAAGAGAATGATATCTTACCTTGATATATCAGACAGAGTATAGCCAAACAAAGAGACACATATTTGGTATTGAGCTATAAAAGAAAGAAAAAATTGTAAGTGAAATTGTAAAAACATAAGCAAAAGAGAAACAGAGAAAATATCAATAATAAATGTTGTTAAAAGAAAAAAAAGAAAAAAAAGACTTGTCTTAAAATCCAGTTTGACCCTGACAAAATGCGGGCTGTAAAAAGTAATACTCCTGTTATATTTTTAGAAAAGAAAGAAAAACAAAGTGCAGACAAGAAGTACAGTGAGACTTTGTTTATTGATGAAAAGAGAGATGATCTTCTATTGCTATTTGCTATGTGAGTTTATATAGACATTGCGTGTGTATTTAGGATAATGATATGAGTATATCATGTGATATCTGTTTTCTTATATCATAGATAATATATTGTTAAGTTATTACCCACGCTCTTGTTTGAGTGATTAGTGATGTTGACTAAGGTGTGTGACCTTGTTATCGGTATATTCTTTATTTAATGATAGTGTGAGAAAAAATGTAAAATTGATACTGGTCGCTTATTCAATATGTCTTTGTCTTATTGTCTGTGCGCTCTATTTGAATCTACGATTATGTTGGATACAACAGCTCCAAAAGAAGATGATTACCATCATCTTGAAATACTACTTTGTGCCTCATTGAGTTAGAAAAGAAGTTGTCTTAATGTGGATCAAGTGGTTGGGAGATGTGCTTAAATATCAAATGAAAGATAGAGAGTTAATCTGCACCGCTTATTCTCTTTACTAGTATGTGAATTTTAAATATGATATAACAAGTGTAGTGAATTGTACAATATTAGTTGAAAATTATTAATATTTATTTTATTAACAGAAAATAACAAAGTGTATTCCTACTGCTCCTTGCCAACCCAACCTATGCATGAATGCTGTTCTTAATAGTACAATTGCAGGTGTTGTTGCTCCAATTGATACAACAACTCCAGAAGTAGCAGTTGACACAGCCCCTGGAGTTCAAGTTGCTGTGACCCCAATGGATCATGTCCTTACCTTGTTGGCAGCCAACAATGTGTCGATGCAATCCTTGCAAGAAAATGCAAAAGGAGTGACTGATACAATAACTCATTTGAAGAATGGCCTGGATTTGTCCAATAAGACAAATGAATTTTTGAAGAACTCGGTCCTTCAGCTCATGACTGAAAATGCTGAAATAAAAAAGGCAATGACCAGCCAAAATTCCGTGATGCCTTCTGCTGTACCAGTGGATTCTTCTTCTTTCATGGATGATAATCTTGACCTTGGAGCAAAACATCATCCCAATTTCTGTAAGTAAATTGATAATAATAACATTACCGATTAATATATCTAATACTGTTTTTATAGCAACTTATTAATAGTTATATCAAGAAACCAAACTTTGTTAGCACAGACCCGCTCAAAGTTGCTGAGAATAATAATAGATCAGCATGGTCAATGACTGGCACGTATGGCGATAAGTAGAACAAGACACTTGCACTGGCTCTCTTCAAGTACCTGAGACCTCAAAGATGTTGCACAAATGTGTCAAAGAGTGTCATTATGAATATAAAAAAGAATCACTACCAAAATCAAGTGCAAGTCTTCTGGACCTCAGCAGAGAAGATTATGGCTAGAAATAAAACTGGAAGAAGACATAACAGAAAGAAGACTGTAAGTTTTAAAATAAAGTTAATTTACTATTGATTTAATGTTTTAATACAATATTCTTTGGTAGCTTCTTGACCGTCGTATTATCACATACCAGGCATATGCAGAGGCTATTCATGAGGGCATGAATCGATATGATTGCAGAAATATTCTTTCTATTGACGTGATGTCTGATGGCAAGTCAGATGGAGATAACAAAGTGCGGGCATATTGTCCCAGCTGGAGAACTGATGAGGTAATGTTAAATATCTATTTATGTTTTAAAGAAAATAATAATACTTTATTAATACTATTTATTCTTTAAATCAGCTCCAGAAGTTTATTAGTACTATTGATGAACTTACTGTTATCTGTTTGAAGAAAAATTCAGAAAGCTTGAAAAAGCACATCTCTTATGAGAAAGAAGTAAGCATTCTCGAGAATTTGGCAGTCACTTTACCAGATTGGTGCTTTTCAAAATAAATCATTTTTTTCTTGCCAACTATTTTAGAGTCTTTTTTCTACTTGTTTATGTTTACGGATTAGCATGATGTATACAGATGCATGTATAGCATGCCAAGTACAAACAAAAATTTATAGAAATAATAAAAAATAAATGTGCAGCTATATATATTAGTCTGTATTAATTAATATTTCTTTTTTATATGTGTTTTATTTTTGTATTTGAATCTAAATATATATTTTTTGTGGCAAAGGAACTACACACATCTGAACTTTGCCTTCTAGACCAAGGTGCTTGCCTACTGCAACTGGATAGCAGATTCTATGCACTGGGAGAATGCTGTTCATGCTGTCATCTTCGAACCCCACCTCATTCACCTCAACTCCTTCTCCTGCTCTGGGCTGAAGTAAAACTTCCTTGTACCATCGTACATATGCAAATACATGCTGACTCGCATGACCAGCAAACGAGTTTACAGCAGTATTGACAAAGAGGTACTGAATTTGGCCCGCGTATGGCTTGGTACTTCTACCATCACTTGTCTCAAACAAGGCTTGCATGAACGACCCACACTGATTCTTCGTTTTGCTCTTGTAGATTTGCCCAAGAAGATTGATTGATTCAAACTTCTGTATCCGATTGTTAACAAAATTATCGGAATGACCAGCCTGACGATAATGAACAAGAGTTTGATCATCGTATGTCTTGCGATAGTATTCCAACAAATGCTCATACTCGGATTCATCCATGGAAATCTCCCCCTTTAGAGCTAAAGGAAGTGCAGAAGGGGGCAAAGGCTTGTTTCCCTTGACAATATCAAAGTTGATCTCAGGAGAATCAAGAAAAGCATTGATATCGAATTGGATTGAGGTGGCAGTGGAAGTGGAAGTGGCTATGGAATTGGCAGTGGATGCAGTGAGCTCAAGGATGATCGCCAAATGCTCAGGTCGAATTATTGGCAAAGTTTGGCGAATAAGATCTCCCTAGTATGCTTCTTCAAGATACTTCTTCATATAGGTTCCCTCAAACCCGTCTTTTCTATTTGTTGCATAGTTTTTCAAGATACCATTGCATCTTTCAAAACTAAAAAGCCAATAGCCATAAACCGGGCCAAAGTTCAGTAGAGTCTCTCGCAGATGAAGATGGAGATGCATGTTTAGCAAAAGGAATGGGGCTTTATGCAACTTCTTGCACTCTCTGCAGAAAGTCTCCAAAGATTGATGGGCTTCATCAAGGTGAGCAATGGATATGCTTGGCATTGAGAGGTACTGGCATGCATTGACAAACGTTGTCCAGTTACTGAGATGAGCTTCAGGTAGACGACCACGCAGGAGAACAGGAGAGTACACCAAGCACCAAGACTTCCACTCGTTGGCCTTCATGAATGGGAAGCCACACCCGATCTTTGTCTCTAATGGCGTGTAGTCCTCTGACAGTACAAGCTTGTCAGCATCCAACTGCATTTCGGCCAAGTGTGCATCTGTGATGAGACCTGAAGTTCTCCATTTCTCCATTATCCTCTTTGCTGTTCCGAGGTACAGGTTGTGCATTGGGCTGATGACAGTGCACTCCACAAGGTTAAAGTAAACCAGGTCATGCAATTCTGACCATCGAACATCATTTTTCCTCTCCAATCTCTTTCTCTGTGCATCACTGCTAGCCATTCTCCACAACTCGGTATCACGACAGTTTTTGGCATCAGTGCAAGGCACCCACTCAGAAAACATGAACCCAGAGTAGTCCACAGCATTGGAGTCTGGAAGGTGAGGGAACTGTTGGTTGCACTTATTACATGCACATGTGCTTGAATGAGAGGTGAACCCACAAGTCTTACGGGCAGCAGAAATGTTGCAGGCAACAAGAAGATGGGCAGCATGGACAAGAGCACCAGATGGGCACTGTATGGTAGGCATCACCACACCGCCATACAACTGGTTGAGTTCTGTGACAAGGGGACGGAGGTAGTGATTGATCTCACTTGTCTTTGCTTCCTTGGGCCCTGGCATGAGACCAACGAGAACAACATTCTTGTTCTTGTACTGTTCCAATCTTGGCAAGTTGTTGATGCAAAGGTATATTGCACCACAGGAGTAAGTGACCTCATCAAAAGGTTGAAACCAATCGATGTTCATGGTAAGCATTATGGAGTGCTCATGATTCACAAATGGTAAACCATTGCTATCCTTCAGACTGTTCCACTTCATACCGTTGTAAATGTCAAACATCATGCCTGGAACTTGCACTCTGATTCTCCAATAGTTGATGGTGTCTTCGAATCCAGGGCGGCAAAAAAGGATAGAAAATGTTTTGATTATGGAGTTATACATGTAGATCTTTTTGGGGATAGTCAAGGCTCTTGATGTTGCAAAGAAAAGAGCGTTTCCACATTCTCTACCAGAGAGTCTCTCAAAATTACAGCACTCTGGAACAACATCAGACTCTTTGTATACTTTGTTACAATTGCCACGTGCAACAAACTACTGGACACCTCAAGTCATGTCACTGAGACCAGTCATAGAGTTGACACTGTTTATACTGAGGGGAAGACGGAAAGACTGTCCAAAGTGTGCCAATACTTCGTTAAGAAACTTCAACAGAACAGCACCACCAGAATTGACAACATATTTGGATATGAAGAAGGCAGCAAAAGAAGCAATGAAAGCATGAGTAGGATTGACTGGCATATTGGATAGAGAAAATTGCTCTATTTGAAAAAAAAATCAATACTTGTTGACTTTATTAATTTATATGTGCTTTTTGTATTAACCTCTAACATTATCAGATTCATTGTCAGAAATATCTAAAATGGTTGCTTCAATGACACCCTCATCTTTGCTTTCAGAATCAAACAAGGAATCAATATCAAAAGAGGTAAGTCTTCAGCTGTTTTGTTAGGTAAAAAAGAATTAAATTATTAGATATTATAAATGATTATAAAACTTTAATAAAAATATTATGCATACCTTCAACTTGATCTTTGGCATCAACATTGTCTTCAAAGTCAATCTCCATGTCATTGTCATTCAACATTACTTCTATAACTAAGGCTATATTATATGAAAATAAATATTTAATTAAAATTGTCTCAATAATAATTTTCTTAAATTTGAACTTACAAGAAGATTCTAACTGATATTGTCTCATAATATCCTGTTGTGCATGTCTTCTGAGTGTTTGGGTAGATACCAAAACAAATCTCATGCTATTGGAAGAGTATTTAGAGCACTTGCATTCTGAATTGTTGTTGTTATTTGACATATTGTGTGTGTATGTTTTATTTTTTAAGTCTTTAGAATTGACAAGAATAGAAAATTATTTAGAAACACAATTTAATATATATCTTTCCAAATTACATCAGCTTCCAAAATGACATAGTTTATTCTGGTTGTTAAAATGGGTAGTTCTCTAAACAGTAATTGATTGCCTCATTCTAAAATACAATAATACACACTTTTGTTAAAACATGTCATCATGTACATTTTATTAGCTGTAGAGCATATACAACAAAAATATTTGTAGTAATATCACGACTATTAATCTCATCGTACTTATAAATAAATATTACAACAATAAAAAGCTTTATTATCTCACTCACAAGATATCATTTGGTTTAAGTTCCCTACAACTATTGACTCTGCGACATGGCTACAAGTCCCAAAAAGAAATCTTGCAGACATTTTTTACAAAAAAGAGTAAACTTGTTTTTTTATCCAATAAAACAGACCGAGTATTATCATTGCCGTCGAAAATAAAAAAGACCAAAGTGATGGAAATTTAAGCTACCGCTCCACAAATAATAGTACCCTACGCCATAGATGAAATTACCCTATTTTTCCAGTGTAACCGGGACGACACGTCACAACAAACCGCCAGACAAACCCACCGAGCAGACTGACCATCCAGTACTGGACACAACGACATGGTTAAAAGCTAGAATGGCTTACAACACATGTGACACAATATACGTCTTCGATAGTATAGTGGTGAGTATCCCCGCCTGTCACGCGGGAGACCCGGGTTCAATTCCCGGTCGGAGAGTTTTTAGCAACTTTTTGTCGGACATTATTTTAATGAACTGTGTCGTTCCCGATCTGGGTTGGTCTTCCTTTTACTATAACAAAGTCAAAAGGTCAAACCCACTGGGGATCAAGGAGTATACGTAAAATCAAAGAGAGGATAAAAGATACTTTTTATTGATATGAATTGAATTGTCTTATATAGTTTTCTAAACTAATACTGCGCATTATCCGCAGTAGTTATTATTTATATTTAATTAAAGAAATAGTCATTATACTGCGGTTAATGCTCAGGAAGATATTACTGCGCATAAAGAAGTACTGCGGTTAACTATCTTCAGATTTTACGGATTCATCAAAATAATGTCCGACATCACCCCCTCCCAAAACTGTTGATAGTCCTCGATCAACCCCAGAAGAATCCACAAGGGAAAACGGTAGGGCAGAAGAAGAGTCCAAGGCTAAATCGCGGCGCATTTGGGCACGGGCAGGGGTTGGGTGATACCAGGTATGGTCAAAATCATCGGATTTTGCAATTTTTAAACGATCGGCGTGAACCCAGGAAGTATAAGGGACACCTTCCATAGTTGTGAGCTTGTATATATTTTTATCTACATTCTTGTCTATAACTATGTATGGTCCCATCCAGTTATATTCTAAGCCAAATTTGTTTTCATGTCGGAGCAATAAATGTTCACCGATTGCAAATTGGTGCGGTTTCATAATAGAATCCCATCGTTCCTTGTCTTGTTGGCTATTGGTGGCTACTCGAGCATCAGCATTAATGCGGGCTTGTTGCAGATTGCGGAGAAAAGGGATAGCACCATCAGAGACAAGAGAAGGATCATCAGGAATAGCGGTATCCATGAATGGGCGTAGAGGATCACCCGGAATACGAGGTTCACGGCCATAGGTCAGGAAGAACGGACTGAAACCAGTTGTTCGGTGTTTCCTAATTCGGCAGGCCCAGAGTGCAGTTTCCAAATATTCGTCCCAGCGATGAATAGCACCATGTACATATTTTCGTAGCATCTGTTTTAAAATACCATTTAAACGTTCACATTTTCCGTTGGTTCGAGGGTGAAATGCTGATGTTAACTTGTGGTGTAATTTAATCTTTTTAATGTAAAAGCTGAGGATGTGTGACATGAAATTGGCGCCGCGGTCAGTGAGGATCTCGTTGGGACAACCAAAACGCATTACAATTTCTTCATACAGGAAATTGGCTATTGCTTCACCAGTAGCAGCAGGTACAGCACGTGCTATTGGCCAATTGGTGGCGTAATCTACTGCAACGAGAATCCATCGGTTACCATTTACAGTTGTTGGGAGCTCTCCAATGAAATCTAGATGCCAGCGGGAAAATGGAGGGGGAATATCTAGGGGTTCCATGGGTGCATGGTGGATATTTCGCTTGGCATTGGACGCTAATTGACACTGGGGGCATTTTGCAAGCCATTCTTGGATCTGTGTTCGCATTCCTGGCCACCACCAACGTTTCTTCATCAAGTCATAAACTGTTGTCTCACCAGCATGTCCAAACCCATTGTGGAAATTGTTTACCAGATCGGCACGCTTGGTAAACAGAGCAAAACGGATTTCTTGAAATGTGTCACCAATCTTAACCAAGTGGAAAACCTTCTGATCATGAACCACGAATTTCTTGCGTTGTCTGTGTAGCAACTCTTTTATGTCATCTGGCCACTCATCTTCCGTGCGAGCATAGTATTTGGGCCAATCTGAAGTCTGTGATTCGGGCATGGTGTACAGATACTCTGGCTCCATAGACTCAATTGTAGATGCATCAAATTCAGGACCGTCAATTCGAGAAAGTACATCCGGGACACTGTTGTCTTTGCCAGGTTTGTATTGAATAATGGGGTCATACAACTCGAATTCGGAAATCCATCTTATTAATCGAGGGGTTGGTTTAACTTGGCTACGGAAGTACTTGAGGGGCAGGTGGTCAGTAAAAACAGTAAATGGTTTCCCTTCAATCATACAGCGCCAGGTACGTAGTGCGTGCAGTATTCCTAAAAGTTCACGTTCTTGGGCTGGGTAGGAACGTTCAGCACTGGAAAGTTTCTTGGATTCAAATGCCAGTGGTTTCCAGACTCCTTCTTCATCTTCTTGCATCAATACAGCACCGACACCAAAATCGGAAGCATCTGTCTCAATTCGGAAAGGTTTGTCCATATCTGGTGCAAGTAGTACAGGTGCAGTGCTGAGTTTTTCCTTAAGGATGTCGAAGCTGTCTTGGCAAGTGTCAGTCCATACAATTGGTCGTCGTTTAGGTCCTGTTCCTTTGGTAAGATCAGTTAATGGAGCAGCGATTCCAGCAAAATCTGGGATAAAACGGCAATAATGCTGTGCCAAACCAATAAATTGGCGCACTTCTTGAACATTAGAGGGTGGAACCCATTCTTGTATGGTCTTGACTTTATCTGGAGACGGGAGGATACCTTGAGCAGACACATTGAAACCAAGAAATGTCAGTTCCTTTTTGTTAAATTCACATTTTTTAAAGTTGGAAATCAGCTTGGCTTCGCGGAGACGGTTCAAGACATGTCGTACATGTTCTTCGTGTTCTGCTGAGGTTTTACTGAATATGAGAATATCTTCCAAGTAGACCAAAGCGAAGTTGTCTAAACATTCTCCCAGAACTTTGTTCATCAAATGTTGGAAAGTTGGCGGGGCGTTGGTAAGACCAAAAGGAAGGACCAGGAACTCGTATTGACCATAGCGGGTGTTAAACGCTGTTTTTGGCACATCTGAATCTTGAATGCGTACTTGATGGTAGCCACTCTTGAGATCTAGGCTGGTGAAATGGTTGGCTCCACGCAATCGTTCTAGGCATTCGTCAATTCTTGGTAAAGGATGGTTATTGCGGATTGTGACTTTGTTGAGAGCACGATAGTCTACACACATGCGCATTTCGCCATTCTTTTTCTTTACAAATAATATAGGAGCACCCCATGGAGATGAGCTAGGGCGAATGAGACCAAGGTCAAGGAGTTCTTTGAGTTGCTTTTTGAGTTCGTCAAGTTCTCGGGGGCTCATCTTAAAAGGCGGTTTGTTTACAGGGTGTGCATCTTCAGTGTTTATTACATGTTGTACATCTCAACTCGGTGGTAACCCTGGCAAACCGTCTTGGAACACATTGTCAAACTCTTTCACTAGTTTCATCCATTGTTCATTATTGGTTACTTCTTTCTCAGTCTTGATGTGCAGCAAAAAACACTCTACCTCCTCCCTCCGAGAGAGTTTCTGGACTTGCTTTGCAGAAATGAGGTAATTAAGTTGAGGTTTCATGGGGCGGTTGCCATGGGGACGCAGGACAAACTCTTGGCCATCACAATATAAAGACCAGTTATCTCGATGCCAATCAGGAACAGGTTTAGCAGTCTGTAACCATGTGCGACCGAGAATCAAATCGAATTTAGTGGGGAAGATAAAAGCATCAACACTATCAGTATAACCATTAAGAGAAAGTGTAAGTGTGGCTTTCTGGTTAATTTTGATGCTATGCCCTCCAGCGGTTTCAACTGATCGCCCAGGAATATTCGAGACTTTTGTGGCAAGGTGTTTGATCTGGGGTGACACATAGTTTGCACTGGCTCCACTGTCGATGAGAATCAAGATTTGTTGTCCGTGAAGTGTTGCCGCATATAATGGTAAATCTGTGTCCACAGCAGAGTGAAGGTCTTCCAAAAAATGTTGATCGGTGGTGAGACAAGGGTCACAATTTTCTTCGGAAATGGCTTTTTTCTCTTCATTGGTAACAATTT